TCCTGTCCCAGCCGTTTGTCTGAACAGTCTGGGCATTTTCTCTGCTGTATGTGACAAACTATCTCAGATTTGGCTGCTTCAAAAGCAGTCTGGGAGCAAGATCTCCCCAAAGTCTTCATTGGCAAAACTAGAGACAAAGAACTCAGTCAGCCAGCCAGCCTTCATTTTCCTCCATCCCAGAGCCTCCTGACCAATGATGTTTGAGCCTCTTTCTGTTTCTAACATATTTGAAGAGCCTCTTATTAGGAAAGGCAGACCCTTATCAGACACTCCTGTTTCTCAGTTTGACCTAGTAGGTTTTGCCTTGGAATCCACATGGCTCTCTCCCTCCATTGCTTTCCTCCGTCTCTTTCTCTTGATCCCAAGTTCCAGTTTCATGAGCCTCTTCGTTTGTTTTGTTTGTTTGTTTTTTTAGAAAAGGTGCAATAAAATTTGGAGTCTGTTTGGATTTTTGGAATACTTCCTCTTTAGGCCAAACACATCTTTCTTAAGTCTTTGTACTCCCTCCCCCATCCCCCAACTAGTCCCTACACTAATTCTTCTTATATTTTATTACTAAAACCAACCCAGTTGCTCTTGTGCCTACACCAAACCTAACTCGGAGTCATTGGGTCGATGCCGACTCAGTACAACCCTTTAGGACAGGGTAGTGGGACTGCCATGTGTCTGGGACTGTAACTACTCTTTACGGGAGCAAAAAGATCCGCCTTTCCCCCGAGGAACGGCTGGTGGCTTCAAGCCACTGACTTTGCGGTTAGCAGCTGAGCTTGTTAGCCACCATGCCACCAGGACTCCTGATGCTGTTGTGCCCAGTGCCTATCATGGTAGAAATATACTTCATGAGGTTTTGGTGGCCGATTTTTCAGAACTTGATCTCCAGGCCTTTCTTCTGAGGCACCCCAGAGTGGATTTGACTGGCCACCCTCATCGTTGCCACTTCCCTGAAAAAGAGAGTTGATATTTGCTAACTTTGAGCAATTTTGCGAACTCTTCATTTTCGTTTTCTTCTCCTCAGATTATGAGTTAGACTATTAACTACAAGGTCAACAGTTTGAAGCCACTGGCCACTCCACACTCTGTCCTATAGGGTGACTGAGTTAGAATCAACTTGACAGGCAGTGGATTGGGTTTGGTTTTCAATTTTCTCCCAAAAGAATGTTTAATTTAGTCAGAAACCTTGTGTATGCTTTTGAGGCAGGGACACGGTCACTTTCTCTGAGGATGGAGGCTTGCAGAAAAGAGGGCGATTGGCCAGGACTTCTTGAAACCACTTTCTTTGGGGGGCCACCGGAGTTGCCTCTCGGAATAAATCGTCCCAGCCTTGTTCAGCATGCTTCAGCACTGTTAGAAGTTGCTGTTCGAGTGGACTCTGGGGCTTGCTTTTATTTTCTCATGTGTCCGAAGGTTCCGTGAAACGAATCACCAGGTCTTTTTTTTTTAGTTAATCATTTTACTGCGGGCTCTTACAGATATTACAACGATCCACAAATCAATTATATCAAGTGAACTTGTACAGATGCTGCCACCATCATTTTCAAAACATTTTCTTTCCACTTGAGCCCCTGAAATCATCTCCTCTTTGTTCTCTTCCTCCCCCACCCTACCACCCTTGTGAACCCTTAATACATTATATATCTTTTTCCATATCTTACCCTGTCCGATGTTTCCCTTTACCCACAGTTCTGTCATTCTTCTTCCTCACAGGGGGTTACACATCCATTTTTGCTATCAGTTCTCCCTTCCCCCTCTCCCCACCCCTCCCTTCCTGTATCCTCTGGGAGTTGTCACTCCCATTACTGTTTCTGAGGGGTTTATCTATTGTGGAATCCATGTGTTGAATGCTCTTATCTGTCAAACTGGGGCCATGATAGGGTGGGGAAGAAGTATCAAAGAACTAGAGGAATGTTGTGAGTTCCGTTGGTGCTACACAGCACCCTCGATGAGTTGTCCCTTCTGTGAGGGAATGTTCGATTAGCAACAGATGCACTTTGGGTCTCCACGCTGATCACTCTCCTTCACAACAGTATGACTGTTTTGTGTTTGATCTTCTGATGCCCGATCCCACCGACCCCCCATGATCACACAGGCACTTGATGAAGGAAAGAGAGAAACGATGGCTGTAGGTAAACTCCAATGATGGTGCACCAAATGTAAGCTGCCTGGATATTCAGGCAGAAGTTCCTGTTGTCCTTTTCCATGTCGTAACTACATTTCAGTTCAAAGGTAACACCTTTTGAGTGGCCTACTGGAGACTAAAGAGCACGCCGCAGAGGCTGCGCCCTCCATGGCTTTGCTGTAAATCTGAGAGATGGCAGAAACGCAGGCAATGATGCCCACTGCCCGTTGACACTTTCTCCTATGTCTGCGAGCTGCTCATCAGGCTGGTGGGGAGGTGGCTGTCATCTCTCCTAACAGGAACACTTCCTTTCCATGGTTTTCCCTGTTGATTGCCCTGTGATTGCATCTCCATGATCGGATCCCCTTTCGGGCAGAGGTTGTGATCTCCTTGTTCCTAGTGCTGAGCCCAGGCCTGGCATAGTGTTTGGATAAGAATGAAACCCAGGAAATTCTTGATATTGGAAGGATTACCCTTCCAATTTCTAACACGTGATGCATCAGTTCTCAAGACTGTCTGGTCCTGAACACCAACATGACACCCATCTGATTAACAACATGTAAATTGTCTTTCCACACAGGTTTGAAGGGATGCCTGAGCTATACCGTATGCATGGTGGGAGAAGGGCAGGGTGGAGCCATGTGTCCACTGCCTGTCCTGCTGGATCCTTCAGGGTCTGGATGATTTCCAGTTCTGCCTCTCCTTCCCTGAGCCACCTAGCCCTGGCCCATGGTGCTCCCCGTACAGGGTCTTGTGAAGACGGCTGAGTGCCATCCACAGTGTTAGCCATTCTATTTACCTGTTCGTTTCCTCTCCCTTGACGCAGGAGAATATTCTCTCTCCCAGTCACTTCCTTCTGCTTGGTTTCTGGATAACCGTACTCACTTGCTTTCATCTCCTACCTCTTTGGCCTTTCTCAGGCTACCCTGCTACTTCCCCATCTCCTGAATTTTAACGCCTGCATCTACTTATGCTCATTCTCTTGGGAATCTCTTTCTGTTTCATGGCTTGAAGTAACTTGGAGGTGCGGATGCATTTATCTTCCAATTTTCTATCTCCAGCCTGGACCTCATGCCCCTTCATTGACTCATACTACTTCCACCCTTGGGCATCTAAAGGACCTTTCACACTTCGCAGATCCTAAGTTGAGGCCCGAGCCTTTTCTCCAACACAGCTTCAGCTGAAGTCGTCCCTGATCCCCATGGATGGCGGCCCCACTCTTCCAGGTGCTTAGCATAAAAGCCTCGGAGTCATTTTTTTGACTCTTCTATTTCTTCCACCCTCCACAGCCACGAAGGCATTCTAAAGGTGCCCCTAACCTGACCGCCTCCCCACCTCCACCTCTGTGCCTGGTTCGAGGAACCATTGTCTGGAAGCTGCGTTATCCTCTTCTCTCTCAGATGGATCTTTCCACTCTTACATAGCCCCCTCTGTTCTACTTGCAACACAGCAAATGTGATGTTGTTAAGATGGACTTCAGATCATGTGACTTCCATCTTCACGGCCCTCTGTGCCAGTGGTCCTCAACCTTCCGAATGTCGCGACCCTTTAATACAGTTCCTCGTGTGGTGGTGACCCTCAGCCATAAAATTATTTTTGTTACTATTTCATAACTGTCCTTTTGCTACGGTTATGAATCAAGTGGCCCCTGTGAAAGGGTTGTTTGACCCCCGAAAGGGGTTGCGACCCACAGGTTGAGAACGGATGCTCTATGCTTCTCAGTTCACCCGAGGAGGAGCCGAAGCCTTTGCTTACCCCACCACTCCCTGCCCTCATCTTGTCTCCAGTCCCACTGACTTCCACAGTCTTCCAGATCGGAACACGGGTCCCGGAAGCCCTCTTGGAAGAGAATCTGTTTCCTTAAACGGAGGCCAGTAAATGTCACTCGTCCACAGTCCCCAGAGAAAGCCTCATAAAGTGGAGTTCGAGAGAGGAAATGACCTTCATCACTGTAGAAGTGCCGTGACTACACAGAACAGCCCTGAGCGAGTGCTTCGCGAAGCTTCATCCATTACCCACCTCTTCCCACAGAAAGACAGCCCTCATTTATTATTTCCAGACAGATTTTGTTTTACTTCCACGGGGTGATAAATGCCCCATTGGGAAATAAGCAAGATCAGTCCCAAACAGAGAGTGTGGCTCCATCTCGCAGATTTTGCCCTTGTTCCCTGGCGTCCCCGCGTCTGGTTGCCTTCTCCATTGGCACCGTGAGCTCCTCTGGCCGCTGTCTTCCTTTGGCACACTCTGGCACGACCACGGAGGTTGGTTTGCTTTCCGATATTCTTGAGGGATGTTTCCTCGTAGCAGAAAGTGACGTTTGCTAGAAGCTTCCTTCGTATTGGACCCGTTCTATCTCTGGCCTGGGTTCTCCTCTCTGCAGTAGCTCCTGGCATCACTGTAAGTCTGAGATTCCCCTACCCTCTCTTTAGCTCCCCTCACTCCGGCTCAAACGACATTCCAATGCGCCTCTTTTCTGACTGTCCACTCTCCAAACGTTCAGTCCGTGTGGTCATTGCCTCTCTGATTGTCAGTGGCCTCCCCAGTCACATGGGGTTCCTCGGATTTTTTCCCAACCAGCCTTTGCTTTGTTCAAGCCACCCTTCTCTCAGCCCATGACAACTGTAGGCTCTTTCTCATCTGCCTCTCAGACCTTCTCTTCTCCTGAGGTATTACCGTTTCTCTCCTTTGATATCCATACTCCACTCATTCCGCCAGACCTGTGATAAGTTCTACAGAACAGGCTTGCTCAGAAAGAATGTGTAGGGTTCAAACCTAATGGTATGTCTCTCCCAGCTTGTCGATGAAAGATGGCACTTTCATGGAATGCATAAGAATATGCCTTCAGGAGTTTATTCACCTTCCCTCTTTCCTCCTCTCTCCACAGCCCCCTCCACTGTTCCCATCATGCACCAGGTCAGTGCCACCATGAGGAGCATCACCTTGTCCTGGCCTCAGCCGGAGCAGCCCAATGGCATCATCTTGGACTATGAGATCCGGTACTATGAGAAGGTAAGCCGGCTCCCTTTGTAGTTTTCCAGCTGCTTGCCCATGGTGGGGGTTGTGGGGTGGGGAGTGGGAAACTGAGTCTGTAAGGAAGCAGCGAGCTGGAGGAAGTCTTTGGGGAGGGGAATCTGGTGGTGCAGATCAGGGACTCCCTTCAGAAGCTCAGACTGGACGCTTTCTGCCCTGATTCAGGGGGAAACTTTGCAAGTTTCTACCTCACTGTCTACCTCAGCTCCCTGGGCCGGCAAGGCCAGAAACATTTCCATTTCAACACCACGTGTTCGCTGTGCTGTTAGAGAGGCTACAAACCTGCCAAGCAGCCACTGAGTCTTTGAAGATTCCGTGGCTTTGTAGATAGATGGTTTCCACAGTTTTTGATCATGGACTTCTAATATAAGTTTGCTTATTTACAACTTATATGCACATACTATGCATTAATATATTTATGGAGGTTAGAAACTGTGCAAATGGAAATTTAGAAGGATGAGATAAAATGAATAGAAACAGAAATTTGTTTATTATCTTCTTTGGCTGCCTTTTAGCAGCTGCTGCTGGGGGACCCTGCAGGGCAAGTGCTGCCAAGAGAAGGGGCAGGGGACCCTCTGGAGTTGGTCCTTGGTCTCTCTGCAAGGGAAGCAGAGCCTCCCACCCACCATGGCAGTCTACAGAATTTGCAAAATCTCAGGAAAATACAGTGTCTTCTATAATGGCCCAACATATGATTGGTAAAGGTTCATTCTCACATTATTTTCTATAGCAGTATTTGTTAAGAGCCTGCTTTTTATCAGGTCTACTTTTGTGAGTCTCTATTGGCATTTCAATCAGATAAAATAGACCTGCCTTTGCTGCTAACCTCAAGGTCAACAGTTCAAAACCACCAGTGGCTCTGTGGGGGGAAAGCTGAGGCTTTCTACTCCCATAAAGGGGCATAGTCTCATAAACAGCCGAGAGCAGTTCTAGACCCTGTCTGCTCGGGTCGCTTTGAGTCGGCATTGACTTGATGGCAGTGAGTTTGGGTTTGGGTTTTTGAGGAGCATACTTTCCAACAGTGGAAGGCAAGCAGCGAGCAGAGGAAGACCTCATGACGGATGTTAGCAGGCGATGTGTGTTAGAGTCCGAACGGAAAGGCAGACCAAGGTTGATGTGCTCGAGAATGCCAAAGTTGGGAGGACCATGTTGCATATGTAAATAGGGTGGGTGGGGCAAGCCTTCTAGAAGAGGCAGACCTGAGTAAGACCCGAGGGAGGAGAGGTTTCTGGGAAGTAGGCACTTGTGACAGGAGAGCCCACAACCTATGCAAAGGCCCTGAGGCACTATCCAAATCGGTGAATCAAGGAGCAGGAAAGCTGTGGGCATGACTGCCGTGAGACTTGCAATGGGAAAGTCAGAGAGTAGTAAACCTGGGAACATGTTCTTTTGAAAATAGCAGCGACCTGTATACAACCATCGAAGCCAAGGATAAAGCAAGCTTGAATCAAGTGCAAGTACAGGGCCAATGACAATTAGTGAATTTCTGCATACATAGCCTGAAGGCCGGACCAGCAGGTTGGCTGCGGGCCCACCGGAGGGTTAGGAGCTGAGCCGCTAGAAGGATGAGAGACTGCTGACTGAGAAGGGGTCCCCTGTGGGTGAAGCATGTGTGGAGGGAGGGAAAGAACGGAGGCTCTGCTCTGTGTCGGAGATATGGGTGAGATCAGGAGGTGACAATGTGGCATACCCAGTTAGATGTACACCTCTGGGGTGCTGAGAGAAGACTGATTTGGGGACGTCTGCTTGAGAGCTGTCAGCATAGAGATGGTATGAGAGTCCGAAGCCTGGATTCGATTGCCAGGGGGTCAGTGGAAATAAGAAGACCAAGGCCAAGGCAGTGCTGAGTGGTAGAACAGGACTTCGTTGGGAAGCAGGGGTCCTAGGTTCTAGGGTCTTTGTTAACTAATCGGCCATGCAGCCGGGGTCATGTTAAGTAATTACTTAACCACGTTGCAGTTTTCTATGTATAAAATGACTGTCATTTGCTTCTCAGAAAGCTGAGGGCCAGGTGACTCCCAGTTTGATCTGTGAGAAAGTATGTCCTTCCGCTACTGTGGGTAAACTTGAAAGTAGCGTGGAGGGTCAGGCAATATTCTATTCTGTTTAGAGAACACAGGGGCATTTATACAGTTAATTCACATGCTTCATTAAATTGGGGGTGATTGAATTATCTTGATTCATAAAAGATCAATCTCAAACTGATTACATTCCACTCAACTTTGAATTTGAGCCCCTGGTGGTGTAATAAGTAAGCACTCTGTTGCTAACTCAAACCCACCCAAGGGCTCTGCAGGGGTACGAGCTGGTGATCTGCACCTGCGGAGATTGAACAGCCAAGAAGGTTCACCTTGGTCACCCAGGGTTGCCATGAACTGGACTCAACTCGATGACATCAGCATGTGCTTTTGTCAGTTAATAAATGTTGACTTTCCAACATATTTTGATTGACCACCAGGTCTCCTTTTGATACTAAGGTTGACTAATGGTCCAATAGGGTATCCTGTATGGCCAGCATATGTAGTACTGTCAGTCTCCAGAAGGTTCTGTCTCTTTCCACATATACAAGAACTTCTAGCCATGTTGAAGTTAATTCAGCTCAGAAAAAATAGTAATGCTATCTCCTTGGTGTGCATCTCTTGAGCAACGTGGGCTTTAGAACCATCTGCCATTCCCCTCATAACCTAGTGCGACACATGTCAGTATAATTGGTTTTATGTACAAAGCGCAAACAAAAAACATTGCCCGAAGCACAGAACCAGGAATGAGCCCAGGACCTGGCTTCTTTGCCCTGCAGCAAGTGGCCGTGTTGAGAAGGGGCTGCAGGTATCGGAGGCCACCTTCTCTTTCTCGTTTTGTTATGCCTCATTTCAGTGGGCAACTGGGACAGGGGCAAAGGACTGAAGGACAGGCTGGGACCAAAGCCATGAGACGCTGCACCTCCTGCCTTGACCCCTCTCTCTCCACACTGCCCTCAAGAAGTTCTGTTTCCCTTTACTTTCTCGCCTCATCCTCGGAAACCCTCTCATTAACTTCTGAGGCGACGAAAGAGGCTAATGCTCCCATTTCAAGTCACCTCCCGACTTCGAAGTAATTTATACTAATTATCAGCAGAGAGATATGCACAGCAGCTCAATGCCCGAGGCAGCTTCCACACCTCAGTGGAGCATATTATTGTCCCCATCCCCAGGATAGAATGCTTTTCTTGGGAAGGCAGGCGGCTTTGTGCTCGAGCCTCGGTTACCGTTCTGTATGCTGCTTTACAACTTCCCTCCACTTACAAAGTCCCTGGCTTAAAAATCCATTACATTGTTTGACCATTTATATGACTAACGGAAAAGACCCCGAGGAAGGTGTCCTGAGGTAATAACCAAAATGATAATAATCCATCATAAGTTTAGTACCTATTCTGTGCAGATCTGCACAGATAAATTAGCTTTCAGCCCTAAAAGAAAAAAAAAATTGAAATGCAGGTGTACAAAATTTATAGATGATGGACCTAGGCCAAAGAAAGATTAAATTACTTACCCATGAGGACCACGGTCACAGGTAGGGCATCGCAGAACCTTGGCCATAGATGTCCCATTGCGTTTCAAGGGTAGGACCGTCTAAGCTCACTGTGGAAGTGGATGTGATCACTTCTGGTGCTGAGGATTGCAAAATGAATGTGGCCCCTGAAACAAGAGATGGCATCCACATGTTAAGTCCAAATGCTTGTGGCTACCATGATCTGACCTCGTAACGGACCACCTACTCCACATGCCACAGAGTGCTGGTCTTTAGAAAATACCAGTGGAAGCCAGACTTGTAGCTGCCTTAGAACCAGTCCCCCAGTCAAGATCCACCATCGTCCTGTGTCGCATCCCCTTTCCCAGAGAGGTCCAAGCCTCCTCATCGAAGCCATGAGTTGACAGACTCTTCAGTAGAGAGTTATTATGTGTATCTCAGGTGTGGATCATGCAGTCTCAGTAGTAGCTAGTCACCTCTGCTATATAGGCTACGAAAGCAGCAAGTGACGATATCGAAATGACTGGGCATAGCCATGTGTCACTAAAACTTTATTTACGGAAGTTGGTGCCGGGTCCATAAACATTAGTTTGCCAAACACTGACAAAACCCTTCCTGGTTTTTTTCCTGCCGCACATCAACCTCTCTATGCTTGGGACACACACACACACACACACACACACACACACACACCCCTTTCCACTTCAGCTCTGTGAATAGAATTAATGATGTATTTGCCTCCTCCAATAGCTCATTAATAGAGAGCTCAGATGCCATCAAGCCGATGACCCTCCCCAAGCCTCTCCCCTGCTCATCTCCTTCCCCATTTTAACACATTTCCATTCATCATCCTCTCTTGTTCACTGCCTTGTAGCATGCTTTGCTCCTGGTGTCAGTGCTTGTAGGCAAACCATGGGAGGAGCCTCTACATCTGCTCTCCGCTGTCTGGATGATTAAGCGCTTAGACACTCACTTGCGCTTCATCATAACTGTCTAAGCTAGGACAGGCTGAAGTCGGCCTGGGGAATTTTCACCCTTCAAGTTTTAAGATAATTTTCTCATGGAAACTTCTTCAGAGCTTGGCGGTAACTTGTGCTCAATCAATTGACTCAAATACCTGGGTTAAAGTATGCCGTGTCTTCATTCATTTAGCACCGACTCGTTGAGCACCCATGCACTTCCAGACCTATGCAGCTTGTTGAGGATGGAGAATTAAGAGAGATGTGCTCTTTGCCCTCATCATAGCTGCATCTGCTATCTTCCAAACACTTATTAAATCAAACCTAAAAGAGACAAAGAGGCCCAACCTTGCTCATTGCTCCCCCTCATTTGCTTAGCGTTGGCTAATGAATTTGTGGGTCATCAGGTCTCATAATTTTAATCACGGAAATTGAAGAAGATGTGGGCTCTAAAAGTGATTATGGCTTAATGTCTCATTCCTCACAATCCAAATGTCAATTCAAGTAGAGTGTGATTCCATCAGATTCCAGCGTAGCTCGTTGCATGTATACGTTCAGGTCACATTTATATGCAAGGCGAGGAGGTGATTTGCATAATTTGAGAGCTCATATCTGCAGGCAGCATGGCCCAGTGTTCTAGATGCCCACCTCCATAGTGCTGTCTAGATAGTACCCTCCTCTATAGTGAAGGGTCTTCTTTCTGCAGAATCCTGATTGAAGGGTAGAGAGGCATCATCTTGTGATAAATAGAACCAAAGATCAAATGATGGACAGAGCAGCCTCTGCCTAGGCAGTCTCTCCCAGAAGCAGGCGGGTAGACACCCCCCTTGCAGCTGTTGTTGGAGCTGACCACCCCTGTGGTCCCTTACTTCAGAACCACCCCCCTCCACAGACCTCCAATTATTTGCAACCTCCTGAGGCCCTTCAGACCTTGCTTTTGCATGTTTGCTTAGGTTCTCACTTCTCACACTCATCCATGTGGCTGATTTCTTTCATCTTTCATAAATCAACCCCTGTCCCCCTCTCCCGGTGTCCCTGCCGCCTCTTCTCCCTAGTCTGGGCTGGGTGACTGCGGTGCTTCCCTGGGCTAAGCCATTCAGTCAGCACTGCTGCCCCCATCTGTTGATTGAACAGTCCACTCCACAAGGCGTCGTCTCCCCAGAGGAGAGGCTCGTGCCTCTGCACCCACACACTAGGTGTCCAGCATGTGGTAGACTCTTCATACAAGTGACCGCCTGGCAGAACAGATGAGCAAACTTAGGACTACAACTCAAGTCAGCTTCACTGGGGCAAGGTAGACTTTTTCACATTGTAAGACAATGGTCATTTCTTTTCAAGGAGCCCTGTGGTTAAGTGCTTGGCCTGCTAACGAGGTTGGTAGTTCAAACCCACCCGATGGCTCCATGGGGAAAAGACCTGGTGACCTGCTCCCAGAAAGATGACAGCCAAGGAAACTCTATGGGGCAGTTCTGCTCTGTCACATGGGGTTGCGATGAGTTCGAATCATCCCTTCAACACCTAACAACAACAGTGTGTTATCATTTGCTGTACTCTTTTCTCCTGACTCAGCTCCCTGCGATTCTTCTGTCGTTGACTGGACATGTAGCACACACACCACTTGTCATCCAGCTTTCCCCCATGGGTCCCCAATGCCTCTTGAACTGCAGCACCTAGAACTCGGCACAGCACCCAGGTCTGCAGAGGAGACCTTGGGGGCTCCTCACAAGCTCCTTTCTCTCAGCACCTGAGTTTGCTCTTGCATTCACCGTGCAGCAGAAGCAGGCCCAGGCTCTAAGTTTTTTTCTGCATGCATGGAGCTAAACCAGAATCTTTGTAGAGAAACCATACAGGAAGATGGTCAGCAATTAAGGGGATTTATAATGAGGGGCTGAGAGTGAGTTGCAATGATGGGCAACAAGGGAGAGATTCTCCAGGGATGAAGTAGTGGGGAAGCCAGCTTAGAAGAGGCCGCTTTGTGAGACATGGGCCTCAGAAACTCTGAGGAAGAGCCGGCGTTTGAGATGAAGAAAACACTGAGCAAAGGCCTGTTAATCAGGGGATGTGGTCTCTAGAAAGGCAGCAAGGCAATGGAGCTGGAAAGAGGGATTAGGGGTGATTGCGATTGACTATAAACTTATACTTAAGGGTTATGCCTTCTTTTTGAGAACAGTTATAAGAAAGGACAGGGACCTTCTTTGAAAAGAGTTGGCATGGGGAGCGGAGAAAAGAGGGGAGGCTACAAAAGTCCCAACATAAACCCTGCATTAAGTAAGACCAGAGCAGGGCGGTGGGGCAGGGAGGGGAGGGTGGAGGCGGGGTGGGGGGGTGGGGGGCTTGCTAAGGCTCTTCTTGTTGGATAAAGAGTCAGAGAATGAGAAACAAGAACTATGTGTGCCCATCAGGGACACACTTGTGCAGATAGCAGGGGGTGTTGGGGGTGGGGCAGAAAGTGCTGGGGAGAGAACAGGGCAAACAGGAGGTAGGACTGGCCTACTCAGCAGGTAGGAAGAGTGGGATATCACACACACACACACACACACACACACACGGTCTGGGTGTAGAGGGACCCTGGGATGGACACTCAGGCAGGGTGAAGGCACGAACAGATGTGACTGCCAGCATGGCTGCAGCCTCTTCAGCAGGGTGGCTGCAAAGGCATGTGCTTGCCTGGAGGACTTGAGAAGTGATGTAGAACAGACGTTGCGAGGAATGGCCAGGGACGCCTGGAAGAGGAGAATAAGGAGGGCTGAGCCGAGGAGAGACCAGGAGAGGCAGGCAGGGGTGGGCTCTGCCCAGTCTGCTTCGGCCAAGCGGGGAGACTGGATTCCTCAAGGATTTCACAAAGCGGGATGGCTGTGTTGAACAATGAGGACTGACTAAATAAAATGGATTCTGAGCTTCTGGCAGGTCCTAAGATCTTGACCCTGTAGACCCTTCTCTTCAGAGCATAGCCATTAGAGCAGGTGTCCTCAAACTACGGCCCGCCGAGGACATTTATCCGGCCCACTGGGTGCTTTTGCCAATTTGTTTTTTTACTTCAAAATAAGATATGTGCAGTGTGCATAGGAATTTGTTCATAGGTTTTTTTAAAACTATAGTCCAGCCATCCAATGGGTCTGAAGGACAGTGAACTGGCCCCCTGTTCAAAAAGTTTGAGGACCCCTGGGCTAGAAACTCATTCTGCGTTCTCTTAGTCCAGACCAGACGCTGTCTCTGGTTAGGAGGGGGCTGTCTCTGGTTAGGAGGGGAACGTGGCAGTGAGGACGACGTCTAACAGGGGCTTCAAGGGAGAGTGGGCTGGCGGGCGGCACTTGAAGTGGGCTGGTGATCCCTTCTTCCCTGCTCTCTTAAAGGAACACAACGAGTTCAACTCCTCCATGGCCAGGAGCCAGACCAACACTGCCCGGATCGACGGCCTTAGGCCAGGCATGGTGTATGTGGTGCAAGTGCGTGCCCGCACCGTGGCTGGTTACGGCAAGTTCAGTGGCAAGATGTGCTTCCAGACTCTGACGGATGGTAAGGAGTGGCCAGGAGCAGGGCCAGGGGCAGCTCTGATGGGAGCAGGAGAAGCTCCATGAGCAGTCAGAGTGCCCACTTGTGTTTTTTAAAATCATTTTATTGGGGGCTCATACAACTCTTATCATAATCCATACAAATATCAATTGTATAAAGCACATTGGTACATTCATTGGCATCATCATTCTGAAAACATTTGCTCTCCATGTAAGCCCCCAGAGCATTGGGTCCTCATTTTACCCCTCCTTCCCTGCTCCCCCCTCCCTCATGAACCCTTGATAATTTATAAATTATTATTTTGTCATATCTTACACTGTCCGATGTCTCCCTTCACCCACTTTTCTGTTGTCCACCCCCCAGGGAGGAGGTTATATGTGGATCCTTGTCTTCGGTTCCCCCTTTCCACCCCACCCTCCCTCCACCCCAGAGTGCCCACTTCTAACCAGATTCTACTTGAATGCTCTCTTTGCCTCCCAGCAGGCCTGCTGGGTTCTCTCTAGGGTTAGTCATTTCTCTCCTTGGGTTTGCCTTTGAGGCATCTCTGTGCAAGGCTGCCCCAGGTGGGCCTGCACATTTGTACAGCAAGGACACCCCAGCGTAGTCGCAGCGCATGCTCTCTCCCTCCCTCCCCATCACGGTCTGGATGACCATGCTGTTTCCTTCACTCCTGTCTTCTCTTGTTGGGGCCTGAGAGATCGAGCTCACAGTCTAAGTCCAGTGAGGAAATCAAGAGACAGGTTTGGTGTGTGGCAGTCTCATGCACCAGATTCTCAGAATCTTTGAAGCACCTTCAAATGTAACCTTAAGTCAGTCCTGTTCAGGTGTCTCCAGGGAAAGCATCTACTATTTCCAAATTCTTGCCAAGGTCAGACAGTCTGTCAACAAAAATACTTCTATCTTTCAGTTTGATTATTTCTCTATTATGGCGATCTCCCTCCATCCTCTGAATCAACCCCCCTTTAATAGTTAAGGAAATCAGACTTCCTGTTGCCTTAGCATAGGTGTGTCTTTCCCGTAGCTAGCCATTTACAATAGTTGATGCATTCATCTACTATCTACCTATGTATCTATCTATCCATCTGGTCTATTCCTGACCCCATGATTACAAAACTTTCATTTTTCTCTTACTAGCTAAATTATATATTTTTTAAATGTCTGCCCTTACATAACATTTTATTTCAGTCTAGCACTCCTTGACATCCTATTTTTGAAAGTTTTAGAATCAATGAGAAACATGTAAAATCAGATACTTTTTATGAAATATCACAAGACCCGTTTTTATGGAAAGGATTAGAGAAGTCAGAATGGTGGGCACTCTGGTACCGCCCGCCCGCTCGGTGTCCACACTTGATGGTGACGGTGACTCAGACCTGCTGCCGTCATGCTGCCTCTTCAGACCTCTGGAGGACTGGAATTTGTAAGTGTTTTGCGGTGGTTTTAGGCAAATTTTACTACTCTTTTGCGGATGGTGAGATGGGCTGAGCCAGTTCACGCAGACAGAGATGCCCCCCGTGAATAGAATGCAGGCCGTCTTCTCCTGGAGGGCTCTGCCCCTCTCTTGGCACTCCACTTGCCATCTAGATTTACGGGCACTTTGGCATCAGGTGGTGCACAGGATTTAAAGCCCCAAACTCAAAGCACTCTGAGCGCTGGCCTCTTGGCAATTCTGCTAGACAAATCAAGAAGTAACAGATTCCTCCCAAGAAGGCTATTCCTTTTACGTTTGGCAGTTACGTTTTGTAAACCCATGAGGGGCGAGATGTAAGAGTGTGCTGGTAAGCGGCCAAATGAAGGAGTATTTCTCTTAATGACTGGGGTTCACACATCAGTGGTAATTATACTCGCTGAGGCTGCAGGCCAAATGTGGAGCACAGAGGTGAGTCTGACAGCTGATCAGTGTTCACTGACCACACTTTGGACAGGTGACCTCCACGTGGGGAAGAGCCAATGTGATTCCAGATGTCTCTGAGCAACAGTGTTCTGACCTGGAACTTAAAGGCCTAATTGGGTTTTTTTGTTTTGTTTTTTAATCGATCAGGTTTCACGTTGCTTTGTGAAGTTTATCATTCATAAAGACGGTGCCAGGCATTCCTCATTGTGGGCTCTTTCATCTGTTTGCCAAATTTATGTATGTTTTAAAATCGTGCTGCAAACATTTTTAGATGAGGGCAACTGAAACTCTATTTCAGCCCACAAAGTTACTTTCTATAGCCTCTTTAGATGTCTCTTTCTCTGCCCATGTACTTGAAGTATGATTCTCAAATACCCCAGGGTGCTTCTTCAGCTCACAGATTTCCTGCTCCTGCCTAGAGGTTCTGGTTCTGGAGGCCTGAGGAGGGGTCCAGAAATAGGCATCCAGTGGTTCTGATGCAAAGTATAAGGAAGCTCATTTTATGAAGCATGACCATTAGTGATATCAGACAAAGCAAAGGACAGGAATTAAATTGGAATTTCAGACCAACAAGGAATTACATTTTAGTACAGTCAAACTTGCAAAAGCAAGAACCTGTGATAGGCTGAAACCTAGCAGAGAAAGACAGATCAAGCGTTTTGCACTATAAGGAGGAAGAGAAAAGGGCTAAGAATGCATCCCGTCAAAGGTAGAAAACGTGTCAGATCAGGAAACACCAGGCAGCCCATCCAGCTTCACTTCCCACAGGCTTCCTTGTACACGCGTTCCCCATGCAATGTTTTGGACATTCTTATACGATAACATTATTCAGTGTGTATCTGAAATATGAAGGTAACTGACCACCCTGTATGTTTATTTGCCGAGTCTAGCAATCCTGATTGGAATCGCACTTAAATAGCATGGCTGCTTCTTGGCCATGGCCAGTCGGTCCTGGTGTCGAACACCAACTGCAAGAATCACCATCACCAGCTCAGCCAAGTGGTTCCAATGGGTTAGAGAAAAGAGAGTTCATATTGGCGCCTCCAGCATAGATCAGACGGCAAAAACGCTTTGTTGCTGCCGTGCGGTGCTGCCAAGTAGGTTCCTGCTGGTAACAGCCCAGTGCACAGCAGGAGCACTGCCCGACCCTGCACCGGCGCCCTCGTCATTGCTGGGTTTGCGCCCATTGTTGAAACTGTCAATCCCTCTCCCTGAGGGGCTTCCTCTTTTCTTGCTGTGGACACACGTCCAGATTTCTTTTACTGGTTAGACAAGTAGCTGCCTTCCAGATTTCTTGGCATAGAAAAGTAAGCACGTTCAACTTGAATCCATTATTGAAACATGTCAGTTGATAATTCCATCAGTTCATAGAGCCTTAATTTTTTCACCAATGTCACAGTGCAGCTTAGAATTCTTCGGTCGACACCAATGGTTCTTGATCATGATACCCCCGGAAATGACGGCACATGAACCAATTCTTTGTGGGTCGCATGACCCCACATGAGCCTCCATCTTTTGATATTTCTTGCATTGTTCAATGGCTTACCCAGAGAATCTTGCAATATTGCAAACAAAGCTTTCGTTTTTCTTCAGTTCTTTCAGCTTGAGAAATGCCAAGTATGCTCTTCTTCCTTTTGGTTTTCAAAAACTCCAGGTCTCTGTACATTGCATTAGAATACTGTATCTTCTTGATCTGCTTTTGAAACCTCTGGTTCAGCTCTTCTAGGGCTTCATTTTTATCTTTCACTTTAGTATATTTCAGAGGCTCTTCTGATAGGCTATTTCCTGTCTTTTTAAAGATCTGTTGCTTTCTTCATGGATGCTATCCTTGATGTCATCCCACAACTCCTGGTTTGGGGTCATTAGTGTTTAATGCACTACATCTTTTCTTGAGGTGGTCTCTAAAGTCAGGTGGTGTACTCAAGCTTGTACTTTGGCTTTTCTGGCCTTGTTTAAGTTTTCACTTTCAACTTGAACTTTATGTAACTGATGGCCTGTTTTGTCGTTGGCCCCTCGCCTTATTCTAACTGATGACATTGGGCTCTTTGTCTCTTTCCACAGAAGTAGTTGATTTGATTCCTGTATCTTCCATCTGGCAAAGTCTCTGTGCTGTTGAAACAAAGGCAGCTCCGGTGAATAGGTCATTGGTCTTGCATACTCTGTCATGCAATCATCAGCTTTGTTTCTGTCGCCATGTTTCCCAACTGCTGATCATTATTTCAACGTTTGCCTTCAAATTGCCAATAATTATCAATGCATCTTGATTGCATGCTGGTTCCAACTTCATATGCTTCATCTTTGGCACTAGTGATTGGTTTGTAAGTATACATAATAGTCGTATGAACTAGTGTCCCGTGTCTGTGTAGCAATAGTAGCCTGTCACTGACTTGATATCTTCCAGGATAGCTTTTGAAATGCTCTTTTTGACAATGAACGTGACCTTCTCAGCATAGTAGCCCATATGATTGTCTGATTCAAAATGGCCAACACCAGTTCCATCTCAGCTCACTAATGCCCAGGGTGTCTAACTTTATATGATCCAATTCATATTTCCAATTTTTGTAGATTCATACTTTGTACATTCCACATTCTGATTATTCACGGGTATCCGAAGCTGCTTCTTTTCATTTTGAGTTACGCCACATCAACAAATTAAGGTCTTAAAACCTGTACTCCATCCACAGGGTTAAAGTTAACGCAACTTTGGAGTGGCTGCCGGTCTTCAGGACTCACCCCCTGGCACTGTATCAGGCAGTGTTCTGCTATTCATAGTGCTGCCAATGGCCAATCATTTTCTTTTCCAGAAGTAGATCACCAGGCCCTTCTTTCTCCTCTCCCATCTTCTGAAAGCCTCTTGGAAACCTGTTTACCAAGACCGACCGACCCGGCTGCTATTTGAAATACCAGTGGTGTAGCTTCCTGCATCATGGCAACAGGCAAGCCACCACAGTAAGACAGACAGACATAACTTGAAAGAAAAAATTTAAGCAGGCTAGAACCCAAGCGTTAGAGTGAGTGAACAATCTGTCCAAATCACAAAGCTTTTACTCCACGAAGGCAGGTTGGATGAGCTCTGGCCACCTCCATGACATACAGGCTTCTTGCTCCACATCATTTTAACCAGGCTTCCAAACTGGTTCATGCTGCTTCGACCCTCACTAATCATTAGCATTTCCACACCAGACATACTGCATCTGAATCTCCACTTCCACAAGGTCCTCAGGTACTGGCCCTGGCAGAGCCCTGACCCCTTCCCCTTCTTGAGCAGGAGCTTTCAGAGTGCCGGGCCATTTCTTCACCCTCTCGCTGGCGCTGTGCTGGCTGACTGTGGGCACTCTTTATTGATGATCTGTTGAATATGCTGCATTTCAACTACTCCATGTTTCAGAAGCATTCCTGGCTTTCCTTTCTCCCCCATCAGGCATATCCTGGCCAGGACTCATCGTCCTGTAAGAGATCTTTCTCACAAGGAGCCGTGGATTGGAGTCCTCAGCCCTGAGTTCTGAGATGCTCTCTGGCACTGCTGTTTTGTTTTTATTGCTGTCCTTGTCAATTGTGTGTGGTGGTGTTTGTTTATTTTGTGGCTTAAAGATTACTGTTCCTTTTGTTTGGGTTTGCAGCACGGAAACATAGGAACTGCTCTCTCTCTCTCTTTCTCTCTCTCTCTCTCTCTCTCATGTGTGTGTGACTTCAAAAAGCTCCTGGAAAGTGAAATTAAAAGGTAGTGGAATTTTTCCATGACCTATTTGAAGCTGTGTGTGTGTGTGTATGTGTGTGTGATTAATTTGGCCTCATGCATTGAGTGCCAGCTGTGTAAAAAAGCCACACTGAACACATGCTAATGCCCCTTTCTCACGTAGATGATTATAAGTCGGAGCTGAGGGAGCAGCTGCCCCTGATTGCTGGCTCGGCGGCGGCCGGGGTGGTGTTCCTCGTGTCCCTGGTGGTCATCTCCGTCGTCTGTAGCAGGTAGGCCTCCTCTCTTCTGCCTGCTCTGGGACCCAGGAGACCTCTCCCCATGCGACACCCCTACCCGGCCGGGCAGGACCACGCACAGCCATTCTGCACGGTTTCGACCTGTGGGCAGGCTGCAATGTTCCTGATTCCTGATTTTGTCTCTGTCTGGGATCAGGTCCTCTGTGAGAACTGGGCAAGGCTATAAGGAAATAGGCTCCCTCTGCAAAACCTCATTTAGCCAAGACTGTCCGCCTCTCTCACCCACAAGGCTTTTCAGAGTGGCAGTTACAAAATTGCCTTTGACCACTTACGCCTTGCGCGCACAACCCCAGCCCATCCTGTGGTTACAGAGCTGGGACCCTCCGCAGAAGGCCAGAGGCAGGTGGGGAAGAGAGAAGCCGTGGGAGAAAATAGGGCTCTGAACTCTGCCGAAGGGCCACCCCTGAAGGCCTCGTGAATTTTTAATACTGTTGCTGCTGCCTTGGGAGCCTCGTGGATTCTGAGGTGCAAAGCCCTGCAGTTGCCCCCACTCTGAGCAGCTCCTCCAGTGCTGATGGGCCTTCTTGCCCCCAGGTCCCATGCTCTGGCCAGGGCCACACTCCCAGGAGATGTTTTAGTGCAGCCTCTGCCTGGCTGGGAGGCCTGGGCTGAGGCGTGGGGTGCTACCACTGAGCGAACCCCTCTTCTCTGTGTCTGCAGGAAACGGGCTTACAGCAAGGAGGCCGTGTACAGCGATAAGCTCCAGCATTATAGCACTGGCCGAGGTGAGTAGAACGCTGACGCCCACCGCCCGGCCGCGCAGGCGCCGAGTCCAGCAGACCAGTGTTGGGGGCTCCTCATTGCCAGGTTGGCTGGTCTCGGACAAGTCCGCTTCGTTCCTATGGTGCTGGCGCTGTGCCTCTCTGCGGGTCTCCGGGGACCACAGGCTGCTGCCCTAGCTGCCGTTCGCCCGTTGTGGACCCGCATTGGCTGCCTGGCAGGCAGATTTTCCTCTGCATCGATAACCCCGCAGAGGACATGGGATGGCGGGGAAAGACTGGGTTGAGCAAGTCAATAAATCCTGGAATCAGACTCAGTGGGGAAAGATGGAGGGTTCTCTAGTCACATATCCTGCCTTATCTTTTCCAATTGAGCAGCTGGGCTGAGTGTTAACCAAATGCGCAGATAAGCCAGAGAACATGAATGTAGAGAATTAAAAAGATAGCAGAGCCCAAGAGGCCAAAGTGTTGGGATATCTCCCAAGCGCTTTCTTTGAAGCAATGCCTTGAAAAGTTTTTCTCACTCATTATCTTACCTCCCCCTTTCCCAGAAATGTATATATGATGGCAACTAAAGCTTGGTTCCTCGCCATTGTGTGCGAACGTCCTGGGTCCAGATTGTACTGTCATCTGTATGATGCCAGGATTGCAGGTCTTGCACAAGGTCACACTAGGTCACTTGGGCCATCTTCCTGCCTCCAGAGAGCGGAAGCCTGAGGTGATCAGTTTCTAAAGAGCTCAGAAATCTGCCCCAGCGCTTGGCGCTATGCTCTATCTCAGCTTTCTGCCCGCCCCAGCTGACTGAAATCCCTCCCGTTGCAACGTAAGCCCTCTTCGTCCTGCCCAGTCCCCCAGGAGCATGGAGAAGCAGACCTCCCGCAGCATGCCCTACAGGAACAAAAATGGCCTCCGGTGTGGAAGTTCTCAGAGACCAAACCCTGCCTTCCTCTGGCTACCTGTGGCGGGAAGGGACTGCTGACCTGCGCTGCAGCAGGCGCCCCCTGGAGGAACTGTGTTTTAGTACAGTCGGCCAGTCAGGACCACAGCCACAGGAGCACTGTTTAGGGCACGCTGTACACATGGGTTGGAATCTGTGCCCAAGAACCTGCCAAGGTCTGTAGATGGCAGGCTCCGCGTCCCCAGGGCAGTCATTGCTGGGAGGGAGGTGTGGGCTCAGGGCTGATGCAGAGACACCCCTACTCCCCCTCCCGGCCCAGGGCAGCTCCCCAAAGCAGCAGCACAGACCCCGGGGGCTGAAGCTTTTGAGACCACATGCATAGCTGATGCTTCTGTATCCCGGATGTACCCTTCTTTCCCTTCCCTGCCCTCAGCCATCCTGTGCCTCCATCTTAACCAGGTGCCACCGACGTGAGAGGGAAAGACCCTACTGTGCACAATCCTTCCCCACATCAGTACACAATTCACACATTCTCTTACTTAAGCACGAAGCCCCCCAGGCAGGACCTTTCTGGGAAAACAGGGCTCAGCCGTCTAGATGATTCTGGAGTGGTGGTGCCCAGCAGCTGCCTTAGAATCACCTGAGGGGGTTCCCCCATCGCCCTGTTTTCTGCCTCTCTAATAATTCTGACACTGTACCCCCATTGCTCTTGGGGTGACTCCTTACCATGATGGAGTAGCCTGGCCAATGGAAGACCATTTCAGAGCTGATGTTTATGACCCTTTAGCATGAGTCATTTACAGATGGTCATGTCAACTGGGAGGCCGGGTCACGACCACGGGGGCTACAGAATTGGCCCTCAAAGAGGAATTTGGAAGTCCAGAAGTGCTGGAGGAGAGGGGTGGGGCACCTTTCAAGGGCATTTCCTTACTGAAGGCATGCAAGCTAAGCACTGGGGGCATCTCTCTGATTGCCAAGCATTGAGTGAAGGTGGACCTGGATGTCCTTTGGCCCCTTCAACCAAGCTCAGGCCCTTTTCCTAACTGGCGGTGGTGGCTGTGCTGGATCACCCATGGCTACACCGATACAGAGGTGTGCTTCCAAGTGCTCCCAGCCACCTTCTGGGCCCGCTGTGGCCTCTAAGGCCAGCACAAGGCGGTTTCCTTGGCTCCTGGGGTTCACGGAAAAACCAGTGCTGGAGCTATCTTTCTGTGTGCAGCACCAGTGGCCCTGCCGTGCCCAGGGAGGACACGGGGAGCCCAGTGATGGCACACTGCATATGCCACCCAAACTCAGGGTGGCACAGGGTTCTTTTGGGCCCAGAGTTCAGCCTCTGCCTAGGAGTCAGCTCTCTTTTGGCTTCAGTTCTTTTTCCTATTTCTTTCCATTTCAAAATAAATGTCCTTTCTCTCATTCATGACTGTTGTTCCTTTCTGCCGCCCTGGCACCTGGCTCCGCCGCGCTGCACCAGGCGTGCTGAACTCGTTGCAGGGCACGAGTTCGCCGTCTCGGTGGACATCCATCGCTCCGACTAAAGCTCTTACTGTTGGGGACTCACAGCCAAAGGACTGCCGAGAAGGCCTGACACATATTCAGCAGAAGAGGAACCGGAAGGTTCTGACGCAAGGCAGTAGAAATAATCAGTTATCTAAGGGCTGGTCTGGGCTACACACTGGGAGCTTGATTCTGGGAGCTCATTTCAGTTCATCGGGCCCTCTCCAGTGCTCCAGGAGGCTGGCATTAATCTAGGCTGGAGCTGAGTTGTTAGGTGCCTGGATTGGGATACCTTGGTCCTTGCTTCACGGCGCTGAAGAAATTCACATGGCAGAAGCAGGTTTGTAACCCACGTGATTTTTTGAGGAAAGGGGAAGTTTTAGGTGTTACAGTCTCAAAAAGCACACACTGTTTCTGGAAAGCGTACAAGGCCCTGCAGGAGCTGCATGGGAGTTCACAGCTAAACAGGAAAAGCCAAGTGGAAGGAAAGCCAGGAAATACATGGAACCTGTTGCAGAACTAGGAGATCCCAGGGGCCAAGGGAGAGACCGGAGTGGGAGCTCGGGCCCTTTTTGATCCTACTGTGCGACATCATGTGGCTGGGCCTAGTCAGTGTGCCCAGGTGGACCTCCCACCTGGGCCTAGGGGGCTGGTGTCTGAGCATGCTCAGTTTGGATCTTTCTATTGGTATCATGTGGGTGCCTGATTTCTTTCCAACCCCTTTGCTGTGGCCCTATGCAGGCAATGGGGAGATAACCCCTCACCCCCTTAGTCCCTGTTCTGGCTACCTGACGAAGTCACTGAGGGTCACCCATGTCATAGATGCCCATGTTATAGACTGGTAGGGTCTCATAACCGTGGCTGAATAACTTACGCCTTTGCCTATTACAGTATATCTGAGTTACTGTTGTGAAACTCGAAGAAAAGCACAAACAGGGCGTGTCCCCAATGACTGGACTGACAACGGCTCTGCATTCACACAAGGGGGCCGAGCATGGAGGTAACAGAACAGGAGATGGGAGAGTGAGCCTTGACAGATGCAGACAGACAGTAGGACGCAGAGATGTTCCGGGCATTTCAACTTGAATTCCGTGATCATTGGGAACCCGCCCCAAACCCACTGCCATCCAGTTCATAGTGCCAACTCATAGTCACTCTGAGGGACACAGTAGAACTGCCGCACAGGGTGTTCAAGGCTCTGAATCCTTAGGAGAGCAAATTGGTTTATGGTTCTTCCATAGAGCCACTAGTGGGTTAGAACCACCGACCACCCAGTTAGAACCCGAGGTCTTTAACCATTGTGACAGCAAGGGTCCTTTAGAAATCAACATAGGTTCGTTCAGAAAACATTATGGGAGCCTCACCTCATTTCCGAATGTTGTACATTTAGAAAATTAAAGCAGGATTGCAGAGGCAGTCCATTTTTATTTCACCAAAAATGCGTAGTGGCCTCCTGAGGAGAAGCATTATAAAGTAGCTACAGAGCTTGTCTCCACACCACCAGAAAGCAGATTAGCGACTCTGTCAGCCAGGAAGGAAGTGACTAGCTTTATTCTAGCCTTGGTCCTGTTCAATCGCATGTGTGTTTGATAGTGTTTTAAATTCCTGAGTCAGGTGCCAGCATAGGGATGCTTACCAAGTGTGTAGGTAACCGTGGGCAAGCGTCACTACCACCACAGAAGACGGAGAGTCAGAATTCTCCAGCAGCTTTGAATGCTAATGTGAAACCTGTAAGATGCGCTGTTACCAGGGTAAATCTAAAAATCCAATGTTTAAGTTAAAGCAAAAATAAACCCGCACTCAAAGGCGGATATCTGACCTGCTATTTGTTCATGTGAAGACAAAATGTAGGGATGTAATTGACCTCACGCTTCACCGGAACGCTATATAGCTGATTAAAGAGCCAAGGGCCGTTACTAATGCAGAATACTAATAGTAATGACCACCCATTTGAGTGGTCCTCATTGAAGTTCCGATCAGAAGAGGTGATACACAGACATGCTATCTCTGTGCTGCTAAGGACACATCTAGAAGGATGTTCTCCTCCTGGGGACCCCGTGGCACAGGGCACACTGTTCATGAGACTCTTGCCCCAAGAGAATGTTAGGTTTCTTGGGTGAGAAATACCTCGGTCCTCGGCTTCGCATGAGAAAGAATTCACACTGAAGCCAGGTTTGTGATCCAAGTGGGTTTTATAAAGGATAGATGCAGCTTCAGGAGTTACAGTAAACTGAACACAAGCCAGAGAGAGAGAGAGACTGCGGCCTGGCCACCCAGAACCACACAGGAGCAGCTAGAGAAAAAGGAAAAAGGGGCTGTAGCTTTGGATTCTGGCCTTTTCAGGCCCTCCGCTGGGAGGCATGGTCGACGGTACTGCTTGACTCCATTGACTGAATTAAGTCCACCTGGCCTAGATGGGGCCAATCCAGGTGTACCACCCTCCTGCCTCAAAGACCTGAATGTGAGCATGCCCTCTAGCCTTAAGCAGCTTCCAACTTCCTGTATGGGGGCCCCTGGGCATGCAGAGGAACAACCCCCTACCCAGCTCCCTAACAAGGACAGCCGGGCTGAAGAAGAGTGTCAAGTCCTGGTTTGTTACCGAAGTGACTTGAAA